GAATTTGCAGGGTTGTGGCCAGAAATAGTTAGGGGTGGATCGGGATCCAGCAATCAGGCTCGTTGGTTAGGGCCAACGCCCGTGGCTAGGCCCGAGCCTCATTTTGGGGTTCTGGGTTGAGCTCGAGCCGATCGTGTGTGGCTCATGGGCCTTTATATTATTAAAAAAAAATTAAAGACAACAATCTGCTGCCTTAAAAATGGTAGCAAAGGCAACAACCTGTTGCCTACATATTATTTTAAGAAAAAAATCTAGCTTACTCGACAAGGCTCGGTAAAGCTTGAGCTGAAAGCTCGGGCCAAGCCTTGATTTCTTGATCGAACAAAAGCTCGACTCTACTCGAGCTCGTAAAAAAACTCAGACCATTTTACTCAAGTGGAGCCCACGGTTCGGCTTAACTCGTTGACACCACTAGGGGTGGAATGAGGTTAGGGTTATGGTTTCTGTAGTAGGTAGATTGGTGTGGAATAAGTGGACAGAGTGTATCTCATTTTTCAAAGAAAAATTGTGTAATTGATTGTTGAAATAGGAAGCTAAAAAGTTTTGGGTTTAATTTCGTCCTTTTAAAAAGCCATGACAATATCACAAGATGGGACAAAATAAGAGGCCATGAGAACTTATATTCGAACTTAAGCCAGTCAACTCATATGAATAATTTAAACTATTACTTAAGTGTTATATTTAATGTGTTTCACTATCGACCAAAATCTTTAAAAAAGGAAAAAGTCAATAAAAAAAAATTAAAGAAATCTCTCATATAATATTTTGTTAAGCTCATAATTTTTCTCTAAAATTTAGAATAATATCCATGAAAGTTAAAAATAAATTATTCATTTTAAAAACGAAAGTTATTGAAAAATTGAGTTTGGATCGACCATGATTAATGTAAAAAGATTCTAGTTTGTAAATAAAAAATTATATTACAAAATTTCATTATTATTTATCTAAGACCTCAAAATTTTTCATGCGCCCGAAGAGATTGTCACCTCAGCAGTATCAGAGACCTGATCTCAAGTGCTCACTAATTAGTCAGGAAGCAAAAGCCAAATCATGTAGACCGTGTCTGGCTAAGGAGGCTTTTGTTCATTTCCAGAATAGTATATGGATGAATCATAACTCCTGACTCCATTATAAACAATATTTTTTCTAAAATGGTACAATTAAAATAGGGATGACAAAAAAATCCATTCAACTCGTTACTCTCGGGATCCTGCCTCAAATGAGGCAGGAATAAACAGAAAGGGAGTCGTTGCCTTGAAGCAGATAGGGGGCTTAGCACGGGAAACATGGTCTTTGTCTCCCGACTCTCCTTGTTTTAAATTAATTTTAAGTTAAATTTTTTTATTAAATAAAAAGAAAAGATTTAATTATCATTTTTAAAGAGAACATAGAATATTCATAACAAATTGAAAAAAAAAATATTCGCTAATTAAAGATATAAAAAATAAGAGAAATAAAAAAATAAATAGAATTCCCGCCTTGCTCCACTTTAATCGGGTATGAGAATGGGACGAAGTGACGAAATACCCAATGGAAGAAAATATAAGTCTTAGCTTGAGGAGTTAGAATTGAAATTGAGGAACCAAGAAAACTTTCTTATTTTTTAGTTATGGACTAATCTCAAATCAGTTCAAATATATTTTTGTATTATTAGTTACTTTATCAAGACGAACTTGATAATGTAGAAAGCTTAAAAATTTAATTAACACAACTCATTTCTAGCGATTTAATTAATTAGTTTAATAGTCTTTAACTTATTGTTCAAGGCGTAGGTTGCCCCAATTTATAAAAATGAGCCAGTTGGTCATCAACTTTTTATCTAGTCGTAACGACAATTCAAATACCCAATTTCCAACTAAAAGTTTACTGAAAATCACTTTTTTAGTTTAAAAAAGGTTCTCTTAGAATTCCTAATTTCAACGCACAATTATCGTCGGAAAGTCTATTAAAAGCAAGTTCTTTTACTAAAAAGGAGATTTTCTCTTGTTTTCAACGTGCCTAGACTCTTAAGACTGTATTTGATTGCAATGATGGAATTTATATAGCAAGAAAATAAATTCTAGACAATTAAATTGTCTAAAAATTATATGTATGAAATTTGTCAATTAAATATGTTTGATTGATTTAATTTTCAACCTAAAAAATATTATATTTGTTCATTTTTATTGATGGATAAATAAGAAAAAGTGGGTAAATGAATGAGAGAGAGAGAGAGAGAGAGAGAGAGTAAATTACTTGAAAAATAAAAACTACTCGCTCTTAAGAAAACATTTTCTTTGTTTTGGAGGATAAAAAAAGGTCACGTGATCAAAAGTAAGAAAATATTTTGAATTAAAAAATATCAATTAAGCGGTACAACAATAGGAATTTGAATAAAAAATAAAATTTTCATAAAAAATATTGACAATCAAATGCACTCCTATTTTCATTTGTATCGACAATTCCATTTCCCAGTTCCCAACTAAAAGTTTGATAAATGTTTCTCCACCCTCCCTAAATAACTATAATCTCTCATTTTTCAACTCGAATTTCTGCTATAAGATTGACTCAATTGAGCTTTAAAAATTTGGCATCTTCTCCCTCAATGCCTACCCATCAACCCCACTCCAAACACATCTCGCTCCCTACAACTCCCTCTCCGGCCACCATCACCTAAAAGCACAATAGGCAGTGGGTCACAAGGATACAAGGCCGTATTTCTTCAAGGTTTTTGTTGGGTTTTTGATACCCAATAATCCTGGACGATGATTTAAAACAGTTGTCAGATTATTTATCGACACCATGGACTTGGTTCGACTAGGAGACGAACTACACTTTTGGATGACTTGGGTTTGGGTTGGATGATTATTTGGTTAGTTGGACCATTTAGAGATTAATATGAAGTTGAATATTGACCCATTAGTTTAGGTTAATTGGTAGCCCTCTTAGTGAACCCTAGGCCCAATTGAAGTGATCTAAACTAACCTATATATATGTATTTATCTTTCAGCCGTTTTTTGGTGGTGTGTATGTTATAGCAATGGAGATGAGAGTTGAAAGAAGAAAGGCAGCCAAGAGAGAGGGAAGCCATGTGAGCTTGTGAGTAAGATTCAACCATTGTGATATCTTCTTCTTTCTCTCCATACCTTTGTGGATTGCTAACATCACCACCCTTCTCCTTTGTGGATTGCTAACATTTTTGGGTAGTCTAAAGTGAATGCGAAAGTCTCGGGTTGAGCCAAGATAAATCGGTATTCGTTTGATTGTTTTCTGAGCCTGGAATCAAGATTCATCGAGGGATTTCCGCTACAGTTTTAATTCCACTCCTAATCTATTATAGCGATTTTAATATTTCTTAAATCAAAGTAAATAATTATTTTAAGCATATATTTTTACGGATTTTACAACTTTTCAACCAAACATTCACCAAATTCTATCAAAATTTATTAAAAACTATGATTTTAATCCTTATCAAACATAGGCCAAGCCCTTGTTTGAAGCACATTATTTTCACAAAAATGTACTTTTGAATAGGGTATTGATGGAAAATGCATAGTAAAAAAATAAGGAAAATTTTTTGAATTGATGTGTAATATTATTTTATTGAAAAATGTGTTGGTGAAATGACGTCAAATTACTGTTTAAAAATGTGTGTGTGTGTATATATATATATATATATATATATTTTGTTTTTTTTTTTTTATTATTTATTATTATTTTTTTTTTTTATAGAACGTGAGTTAATCACAGCCCAAATATGTTTGATAAGTTAGAAGTAATCATGTCTGACTTTTATTCAAATGTTTTTCCTTTTTGAGGATTTTCCAGGCTAGCCTAAAATGCTTGAAATCTATCTCTGCCCCAATCCCAGTCCTGACCCTCCCATCCTCGTCCGGCAACTTCCCCGCCCTCATTACACGTGAAGAAACATCAAATGCCCAAAATAGCCCATTTCCTTTTCAGACATTTCAGTGTACTGTAGGTGGGAGAAGTTGCATGAGCAGGATTTTAGTCTGGTACTGGGGAAGAGGGTGTTTGAGGGAGAAAATGCTATTTTATAATTTCCTTTTGTAAAAATATTGACTTCTTAATCAGCGCGCACACAAAGGAACAAAGACACAATATAACAAGAATAATGTTATCTAATATCAGTGTTGGTGGTCGAACTTTCCAGATTTTTTTTATAAAATCAACAATTATTTTAGCTTTCATTTTAATAAGTTAAATCTTTTGAATTAGAAGAGGGTTTGTGTACCGTATTAAGATATTATATTTTACTGATTTTTATATAGTTGTATATTATAAAATATATTCTCACTCTATGAAGAACGTCCATCGTATAAATAATGAGATCTGCTATAGAGACGGGGGAGGGGACAGGGATTGGGGATAGGGCCGAGGTGGCGCGACCTCAGCCCTTGATCTGCATTACCCTATCCCCTCCCCTGTCTCTTTAGCATTTCCGATCAATAATTCCAATATGATGATGATGATATGTGCGAGAAGCGTATCCCTCTGATACCAAACACGATTCTTCTCCTCTCGGCATAGTCAGAGATCCTATTTTTTGTCATGATCGGATCTCTTGGAGTCTCTTTTTCACCACGCAAATTAACAAACGAAAGAGGAAAAAAAATTAGTACCCTTTCCCGGATAATTAGTTGCCATAGAAAATGAAAAAAAAAATAAAATACATAAATAAAAAATCCTGAAGTCCAATTTATCATTTCATTAGAATAAAAAATAATCTCCAAATTCTATTTTATTTAGCAATTCTTTTTTCTTTTTTTTTTTCCTCCCCTCTCCCTGTTTCCATAGTCATTTTTCTTTCTCCCTCTCATTTTCACGTCTGAAAGAGAGCGAACGAAAGAAAAGACAGATTGTTTGGTTCATGGACATGACGAATAATCTTCTTATGGTACAAGAAATTACGTTACCATATCCATAATAATTCAATTTTTTTCTTTAACACGAATCATGTTATAATATTAAGCTGTCACTAGACAGTATGCCTTGATTAGGATACAATTTCTTGGTACTGTGTCAGAATCAATAGTAGCTGGACTTGGACACCAGTCTCTTCTTTGTTTTCGTTAAGTCTTATACTATAATAGTTGTATGTTGGACAATTTCACTTATTGTAAGAATAAATTTATCAATCCAAGCAATTAACTATAACGATTAAATATGCAAGTAAATGATCCAATAAATAAATAAGAGAACGTAACATCAAATTTTTACGTGAAAAAACCCTTTAGTGTAGAGGGAAAAAATCACAGGGCAACTCCGGTTAAATCTACTATAATAAATATATATTACAATATTCAAGTTTATGCCCCAAAACTTGAATTCTCAACAAATTGAGAGATACTACAATAATCAATCTCCAAGATAACAATTAATCTCTCCACAAAACACCAATTTGATGAAATTTGTGAGATACATATTTTGAATACTACACCTCTAGAGTATCCAAATACACCTTAAGAGAAATTTTCAATTTATACTATATAGAGAACGTTTTCCAAATATCATCAGATAACTTTGTACCATTTCACGACCTTCATATGAGTAGATACATGTTATGGAGTAGATAAATTTGTTTACTTATATTTATGCCTTTAAACACTATATGGCATGCATCTAGATTCAATTTTTCATCTAGACCTACACGTTACCATTTTTAAATGAACGAGGATGCAACCTGAATTTAAAATCTAGTACCACGTTAAATCACCTCATTATCTAAAAGGTTAAGTTGCTAGAGAAGAACAAAGGACATTACATTCATTTGTTTCATAAAATAAAAGCCTGATGCATGCATAATTTTCATAAATAAGTAGTGGCTTGACTTGAGATCTCACTTGTCTAACAAATTTATGTCTTTAAACAGGTAATGTGATGTTGTTCGGAAATTTGGGAAATTTGAGGCAACCAGGTACCAATGGTAATACAAATTCAACCAGTTTTCTTGATTACCTACCAAAGACTGCTAAACAGGAAACACCAGCACCGAATGGAAAATATCCTGCCAGTAATGCAGTTAAAAACCCGATTGCCATTGAGGCAAAACCAGTTCCCCTTTGCCGGGCTCTTTCAAGCAAGATGGATCCTGAGGAATTAAAAGTTTTGGGCAATGAAGATTACAAGAATGGCAGGTTTTCAGAAGCTCTGGCATTGTGTGATGCAGCAATTTCTATTGATCCAAATAAGGCTTCTTATATAAGCAACAAAAGTGCTGCATTAACTGCGTTAGGAAAGCTGCTTGAAGCCGCATTTGAATGTACGGAAGCAATTCGAATTGAACCATCCTATGAAAGAGCACATATCCGTTTGGCAATATTATATCTAAGGTAATTAGATTTTAATTATAAATTTTCTGAAAAAATGGAAACTGCCTGGGGGAGATTCATGGCACAAGAGGTGTTAGGTGGCTCGATTTGGTATTCCATTTTCGAATAGGCTAGGTTGCACAAGAAGGAAAATGGAAAGGATAGGATATATAGAAAAGCTTAATAATTTATGAAAAAAAGTAAGACACAAACGTTGTGGAAATACAGTATAGAAATTATAGTTTATTTTTACAAATTCAATATCCAAGTTTAAAAGATACATTATACATTAATTCTAATCCAAATCATCTGTTAATTTTCTGTACTATAATTAACTGTGTTTGAAACGAAAATGTTAGTGTTTTTTACATTTTTGTGCAACTTAGAGAATAGGAAAATGTCTTGTAATAAAGTCTTGCCGTTACTCATTTATGAAAATATATATTTTTGTCACTTCGCTAACAGTTGGGAGGATTGGAAGAACGCATACAAGACTGTGAGGCGTTGACAAGAGAGAATCCAGATGATAAGGAAGTGAGACAGACGTTGAACGAAGCTCAGGCACAGCTCTGTAAGCAGAGAGGAGGGCAAGAAATTAAGAAACAAAACATTTCAGGGACTATGTAAAATCCTCTGGTAATTTTCTTAGGCTGATTTTAAGATACTAGTTAATCAAGAAACCCTAGATAAGTATTGTATTTCAAGTTTTGCCCTCTTTGTTGTTCCTGGTATAACTAAATCTTGGTTCTTTGACTGGGGTTGCTGTAACCAAACAACATCTAATCCTTCTCAATTCCAATCGCGCATGTTTATCCCTCATGCACTTATTACTCATACTTTGTATGAGTCTAAAATACATGTTAGTCATACAGGAGATGTAGATCGCCAACCTATCTTAGTCTCGGGCTTACACTTAGCCCTTGTTTGATCCCTATTTTGGGGGAAAATAATACATTTTGAACAGTAGATTGATGAAAAATATGTAATTAAAAATTAAAGAAAAATTTTGGATTTGCGGATAATATTATTTTATTGAAAAATGTGGTTGAAAATGAGTTTTAAAAAAAATAAATTTTAAAAAAAATGAGAATCAAATAAGGACTTAATTTTATCTCTATGGATCAATTATTTGATATGGCCTAGACTTATACTTTGTTCTCATAACATTGTTGGGTGCAGTATCAGCAAATAGGATAGGTACTTGGCTCCATCTGTAAAGTGGGCCATCCATTCAAACGTGCATCCTTGTTAATTGTTGAGTCGAGCTATTTCGGTGTCATCTGAAACTTGGAATTCTTGTTTTGACACGTGTCATTATCTAAATTATGTCCATTATTTTCTAGAGGTTTCTTAGGATTTGTCTCGGATATGTATAGTAAATTTGATTGCGTGTCTTGTCAACTCGCAAAGAATCATGCTTTATAACCTTTTGATTTAGTACATTCAGATATGTGAGGATCTTTTGCAATTTATACTAAGAAAGGAAGAAGCATTTTGTGTATTGAAAATAGAAACCAAAAAATAAGAAAAAGTCTTATTATGCCTAGATCGCCTAGACTCTTGAAACTTAATATTCATGTCTCGTTACGTCTTACGTCTTTTAGAATTTTATCTGACATAGAATTCAAAAATCTGTAAAATGGAAATTGTGGTCAAATTACTTCTATAAACCGTAAAGTAAGTAATTTGTTGCCCACGTGATATGTGTAAACAAATTTTTTGAAATTAAAGATTATTTGAATATAAGTTTGACTTATTTTTAAACTAGTTAGAAGTGCTATATCTCTTGTGCAACAGGATTTGTGTGAGAATTGCCAAGTATTATTTAAAAAAAAAAAAAATTATATTTTAATCTTTTTAGATTTATTGCATATAAATTAAATGTGATCGAGCAATTAGATTAATTTTATAGGTGTTACTAATTATTAACCATTTGGTGACAAGTTTAGCCCATGTTTGGTTCTGATTAAAATTTGATTTTAATCTAAGTCAAAATCAAATAATCATGGGTTCTACAACTTTTCAACTACACGTTTCAAAAAACTTTCATTACAATCTACTGAAAATTTTAATTTTAATATCCATCAAACATCCTCTTAAAGAAAGTGTTCCAAGAAGTCTTTATACAAGACAACATAAGTTATAAAATTAGAAATAAAAAATAATAATATTAATAAGAAAACTAATCCTCTAGATGCTTGTCAATGTCAATTGTCGTGGTCTACTTTTCTTATTTATTAGTTAGACTAGAAATATGACAAATCGTTTGATCATGCCTATATTATTCCACATAATCTAATCTAAAAGGGCCCTGCTTTTTGGCCAGACTCAAAGACAGGCGAAAAAACAGGGGGCGACAAAACAGGGGGCTGGTCAAACAGGGTTTCCCAATTTGAAAACATAAATCAAATTTTATATAATTTTTTTTAAGTTAAGAAGATACACAAGGCTGGAAGTGTAACAAAGGAGTCCAATGACACGAGGGATAATCATAGATGCACTAGTGCAATAGCATTTCATTCTCAAGCTTGATTTGCCCAAAAACTTAACACATAAAAGGTGATATGTAGATGGGAGAATTTGAACTAGTTAGAAATAAGGAATACGAAGAGAACAAGAAATATATATGTCTCCGTTTGTTTTTCATTATTTGTCCATTAAAATGAAAAATATGATTGTTACCCATCACATCAAGCCATCATATTAAAAATGCGACTCGCATCCCGATGGGGAGCGGAGGTGCTAAATTCCAGGCAGACAATTAAAAATCTGAGACTCTGCTTACTCATTTCAATTGAAAATTTGGTCCTTGATTAATCAACATAAACTGCGCAATCGGAAAATACACCTAATATTCTGTTGACTTCAAAGTAAAAATCTGAAAAGTAAGTATAGAAGTTGATAATTGAGTCATTTTTCGAGTTTAAAAAACAATAAATCTAAAAGAAGAAAGTGAAGTGGTGTCTAATCAATGATGTAACAGAAGTAAAATTACTTTAATTAATTAATTATGTTATTGGGGTTAGGTGAACTTGACTTCAGAATTTGATACTTCTAACGTAGTTTACGTTGGAAGCAATCCCGTCGGCTGGTAAGTCCTCCCAGAACCATACACGTATACACGCACTCACACGGTCATATTCACGCGCCCATATACACGTGCATACAAATACGCTGGTGTAAAAATTAAAATCGACCTCACAATTGATGAAAAAAGAAAGGACCAAACTTGCAATTGAAAATAATAAAATGAGATATGGTATAATAATATTTTTTTTCAAAAAATAGATTTCATCTAAGAAACAAGGGCCTTACAGGCCCCTCACTGTAGATGGCAGGTTAGTGGGTCCGACCTGCATTAAAAAATATATATATATATTCGTACGGACCCCGCCTCTTGTGTCTATCTTGGCAGAGGTCTGTGAGCCTCTGCTCTAGCCCTAGATGTGAGGCATGATTATTCGTCTAATACTTGTTCTATAGGATAATTGCCTTTCATGATCATGATTATTGTATCTGATTTGATCATTGATTCAGACAAATCATCGAATCATTAGGTCAATAGTTAATCGACAAGTAAGTAGTTCAATTGGTGGGTCATTGTTATACCATAATTTTAATTAAAAATAATTTTTAAAATAAAAAAAATATTTTTTATATCATTTTTTTTTAAGACTGTATATATATATATATATATATATATATATTCTGGTCACATTTATAATAAAGTTTCTTTCGTTGTCATAGTGCTCATAGTGCCCAGGCTTATAGTTCTATAGCTCTACACATTTAGCCCTTATTTGATGAGGATTAAAATCAGATTATTAATACATTTTAATAGAAGCTAATGAAATGTGTAATTAAAAAGTTACCGAGCCCATATTTTGAATTGAATTATTAACTTTAACTTAAATTAAAATTTAGATTTTAATTGATTACAAACAGAGGCTTAGTGATTTAGTATTAGAAGCCGAGGACCTTTCGACATCTTCTATACTGTACGGGTGTTCGGGGTCCAAGATTATATTCTTTTTAGATGGATTTCTTTAATAGTTATTAATTGTTGATCACTCTATAAGACTAAAATGATGTTTCTACCTTATTTCCTATCTTCAAGAAGCAAGTTTAACAAACATCATTGCCAAATGATATGCAACATCTATTATGATGGCGGTGGTGAATTCACTGCTCTTCGCTCTCTACTCTAATCATCTGGTCTAAGACATTTTAAATCTCCTCATACACACCTCAGCATAATTGGTTAGCTGAATATTGTCACCATCAAATACTACATTAATTTAAGAGCTTAGATAAACATGTAAGATAGACTTATCAGTATTGTTATAATCTGGACCAAACTCGAAATCACCTTATTGAAAGCGGAACAGCTCTGATACCAGTTTTTTTGTGAAAAGCGGAGATAATATCGGATTATTTCAATACCAAATTGTTGAAGAAAATAAGAGATTTTGTATGGAGAAAGAATATAAAGATTTTGTATTCATAATTTGTCTAACTTATGATGAGATTAAACAACCCAACTAAATTATATAGAAAAGCCAAATATATATAGGGAACAATACAAATTCTAAAAGTAGAGTTATAGATAAAATAGAATATCCAAAAGTTTCCTTACCTTAATCTCTTTTTAAGTTTAACACAAATTTCAACTTCAAATAGGGTTTCCAAATAGAATTTTAACTAGAATTTATCAAATAAGCTTTGAATATGATTCCATACTAGTATTCCAAATAAAATTCTTCTTAATATATACTTTAATTAGAACTATCAATTATCTTCAATAAAGAAATCAGGTCAAATCCAAATTTTAACAATCTCTATATTGACACAAATTTCACTAAAATGAATAAAACTTCAAAAGAATAATTCTCCACCTGGAGACAAATTCTACTACAATGAACAAATTTAAACTCTTCAATGAAAAATACAAACGAACTTCTCCATCAACAATTTCAACTAAAAATGTTCTCTACCTGTGCTACCCTGACTAGGGCAAAACTCAATGCCTGAGTATTAACAAAATTCCAAGAAATACCTTGGACACCAAAGTTGCTCAAACTGCGAGCAACAAAATCAATAACGTGATCATTAATCACCAAATAATGCTGAAACAAGCTCTGTAAGAAAATCACCACTATTGAATGGATTAAAAGAATGATCTTGGCTAGAATTAATTTCTTTAACCGCATTCAAACCATCAACAAAATCAGCAAAATTGTACCTATGTGAAATCTTATAGCCAAAAATAGATCTATTTCTAGCAATTGAATACAATGACACCGTCGATAATAGTAGCAAGACGGATTTACTCATATCTTCAAAAATCAACTGAGATGTGTTCTTAAAAGAATACCCCAAATTAGACTCCAACTGTGCAGAAATCAACTCTATATCCATATGAGTTCTTAAAACATACTAATTACTCAAAGATTCTGTATCGTCCTACAAGATATATAAATGGGTTTTTCTATGTCTAGTCAACATAAAACGGTTTCCTTCGATAACCTTTAGGACTCTACCTTCAACAGTATACATGTACCCTTTTGAATAAAAAAATACTTAAAGAGATAAGATTTCTCTTCAAATCTGGTACATGTCTTATTGCATCAAGTGTTCTAAATGTCCCATCAAACATCTTTATTTTGACTTGACCAATACCAACTATCCGACAAGTTGTATTATTACCGATCATCACAACACCTTTCATAACTTCTTCATATGTTGAAAATAATTCCCAATTGGGTGACATATGAAAAGTGCAAGCTGTATTCAAAATTCAAAGCTCGTTAAGTTCGAAGTTGTAGTCAGAAATAAGTAAAAGTTCTCCACCACCGTGAGAAGTTTCTGCAACAATGGTTTCACATGAAGTATCTAATTGCTTTCATTTCTAAAAAGTTGTACCCAAATTTTCTCTATCATGCAACTTACAGAAATCCTTAATTAAGTGCTTGAAATTCTTGTAATAAATTTGAAAATTGAAGAATAGAGTAAATTGTAGTCTGCAAACGTGAGCAACCAAGTGTAAAGGCCAACTACAAAACTTTTGGGGGGAAAAAAAGATGTCGGGTCACATGATCCCGTGTGGGTCCACCCATGACCATGGCGTCTCTCTATTCTATCCTTCATATTCCACTCCATGCTTAAGCCCCATTTTTTGTGTAAAATGTATTTTGGAATAGTAGATTGATGAAAAATTTATGGTTAAAAAATAGAAAAATTTTAGATTTTTGTGTAATACTATTTAAATAAAAAGAAGAGAGAGAAAAATATATTTTGAAAATAATAAGGATCAAACTAAGCTAAATTTTCTGTAATGATTTAAGAAAAACAGGTAAATAAAAAAATATGATTTTTTTTCCTGAGATGGATTAGTGAATAAGTTCCCCCCAGGGTGTTTAGGATTTTCGTTTGTATAATTATCTCTCTTTTTCCTTTTAAATACTGTCTAGTATAATATCTCCTCAAAATACAAATAAAATATTATTCTCGATAACTTTGAGGTCGGCTAGTGAATACATTTTGGTTACTTCATTCTCTTTATTTTACAGCAAATTTTTATATATTCTAGATGTTGTCAATACTAAATAGAGCTTAAACATTTGTATCCATTTTTCAGGATATTATGCATAAATTAGGTATATTACGGCAAACTGTTCCAAAAAAAAAAAAAAAAAAAAAAATTTTATTTTCCAATGTAACAAAAAAAAAAAAAAAAAAAAAAAATTAAATATAATTTTATTTCTAAACAATTCATCCGTTAAAAACTCATTTTAAATTTGTATTTTATTATCTAATAATAACATAATTCGAAACTTTCAAAATGCAAATGCCATCAATTTCCTCATCTTTACGCAAACGCTTTTACTGATCAAAGCCTGTAAAAGGATCTTTTCTTTGCGGATCATAGCCTTTTAAGCCTTGGGTACTTTCTATAATGGCTTTTTCTAGCAGCTTCTTTTAATGGTTTTGTGGTAATTAGCAACAAAAATCTCTCTGCAGATCTCTGTCTCCTCTTACGTTATATTCCTTTTCGACTTTCCCGTGGTCTGTTTCCTTTTTTCCCCCTGGAATTTACCTTCTCTCTCTCTCTCTCGAAAAGAAGAGAGAGAAATAGGAATGGATTCTGGTAATAGTGGGAGTCTACAGTCATCTAGTGGTGGTGATGAAGAATACGATTCACGCGCCGCCTCTATCTCAGCTTTCATGAGTAACCCAACACCCCATGTTGGCCCTATTTCTGAATCATCACAGCCACTTCAGCCGCTGCCGCCACAAAACCCCAGTCACACAGCCATGTTTGATCCACTATCAAATTATTTACATCTTCAAAATCCGAGCTTACTTTATAATCCAAACATGATCTTATCCAAAACCCTAGGATCTGATCCATCCACTAATATCACCAACCCTATACTCTCCTCTTCTCCATTTCTGGACACTTTCAGTAATGTTCGATCTCCTTTAGTTTCTGCATCACCAGTACCAGCTTCTGTGTCAGGACCTTCTGATAATCATAATCTTAATCAAGTTGTACGTAACCCAAAGAAAAGATCGAGAGCTTCTAGGCGTGCACCAACTACTGTTTTGACTACAGATACCACCAATTTCAGAGCCATGGTGCAGGAATTCACGGGCATCCCTGCGCCACCCTTCACTTCCTCACCCTACCAGAGAAGTAGGATTGAACTTTTTGGTAAACCCACTGTGGCCGTCAGATCTAGCTATTTGGATACTGCACAGCCGCCATATCTTCGCCGGCCGTTTCCTCAGAAAATGCAACCACCACCAGCTCCTCCGCCGCTGCTGCCACCATCATTTCTTTCATCTGCTTCATCTTCTTTTCTGTACCCTCCTCAAAGTTCCAATCTTTTCACTACACTCCTTCATCCCACTATGAAATTTCCTCTTGCCAACTCGACCGCCATGATCGGCTCAAAAGCTCAAGAATCATTAGAAATTCCTTCAAATGATTCACATATGAAAATGGGGAGCTTGGATGAATATGCAGTGAGTGCAAGAAATGGTGATCAAGTTCAAGTGAGTGGCAATTACTACCACTTTCCGACAAATTCTACGAATGGAAAGATGAATTACTTGGCTAATTCTCCTCCCAGCTTTCACGGCGAAAAGGGGCCGGATAGTGTGGCGGCCACAAAGGGTGAAGGTACGGTGGAATCATGGATATGTTCTTCTTCAGACTAGAAATGATTATACTATAGAAAGTATAATCTTGTAATTATGAGGGTTATGATAAAAACATTGAAAATATTTGATTGATTAGTGTAATATTGATTATCTTATCCACAATTCAGATCAGACAGGTAGATCACATTGTACTAGTGCTTAAATTATGTGTAAATTATAGTCTTCATTTTTTTTAATTTTTTTTTTTTTTGGATCCTTAACACGCACACACACGTCACTAATTATACAAACATATTCTCATAAGATGTAAATAATTCTTGGAGTTTTTTTGTTTTAAAATTGGATAATTCTAGCTCTTATATTTGTTTAATGATTTCATCTTTGATGAATGTAGAATTTTGATTTTAATGTGCATATGTAAGGTGGTGGCTCGTATAAAGATATCAATTTTAAAATTCGATTGTTCATTTGATCTTTAGACAAAATGAATTGTACGTTTGAACTTTCATTCATGATATGTGATTGGATATGGAATTTTTCAACCAAATAATCCCCCCGTCCCCTCCTTTTTTTTTTACACCTCATATGTATATAAATGACTATATAATTATTTATTCAAATGTAGCTTTATTAAGTTTTAAGTTACTAAAATTTTAATGTAATAAAAATGATTAGTGAACAGACTTTAAAAAGTAAACTGTAAGTTACTTTAAAACTTCCCAAAACATAGGCACGGGTAATCTTCTTATATATGCATGTTTTTCTTATCAATTTTTGTTTGTTTGAATAGTGGAAATATGAATGTGTATCAACAAAGAAGAATCAAAACCATCGAATTTTAATTTGTAAGGCTTGCTTTTTATCCTATCTTCTGCGAGGAATTCAACTTTTTAAGATATATTTGATACAAAATACTACATTATAATTAACATCTTCCCTTCTTTTTTTTCTTTTTTCTTTTTTTTTTTTTCAAAATAACCCTATGCATTTTATTATATAAAAGTTATACTGAGTTATGTCTCCTCCAAATTGATTGAGCCTTTTCATTTCTTTAATTTTCTTTTAGATGAAAATGGCTTATCCAGACTATGTTTTTTCTACGCAGCCGGTGACCATAAATTTTGTCTGGTTTCTTCCCTTCAATCCTTTGACTGCAAGCTTGAAATTTGTATCAAAAGAAAATAAATTATATACAATTGAATTGCTTAGAACTTAGCCTCCGTTTGGCCCTCAGTCTCTTTTTCATTATTTTTCTATCTCTTATTTTTAAGAACATAATCTTCCATAAAATAATATTACAAGCAAATCGAAAACTTTTCGAGTGTGTTTGATTACATTTATTTTCCATGAAAAATATCAGTTTTCCACCTAAATTTCTACTTTGAGTGTTTGATTGCTATTTTTTTCATGGAAAACATTTTCCAACTTTTGAAAATATGTCTAATTTTCCTTGTTTTTAAGGAAAATATTTTTCTTGGGTGGAAGTGATTTTTATTTTCCTCAAAACAAGGAAAATATTTTCTTTTCTAAGTGATATTTTTCATGTCAATCACACACACTTTTCATTCTTTTTCAACCACACATTTTTCAAAAAAACACTATTTCAACCAATAAAATTTGGAAAGAATGAGAGCCAAACAGGGGCTTATTTGTATGAAAATTATTAATTAAATATATTTAATTGATTTAATTTGTAACCTAGAAAATATAATACTTGTCCATTTTTTTATTGGTGGATGAATGAAAACGAATGGATAGATGAGAGAGAAAGAGAGAGAATTATCTGAAAAATAAAAATCATCCCTCCCTAAATGAAATGTTTTTCTTATTTTGGAGAAAAATGTAATCACGTAACCAAAAGTTGGAAAATAATTTCTGTAGAAAATTTGTCAATCAAACATCCGAAAGTAGGAACCTAGGTTGAAAAATGACATTTTTATGAAAAATAAAGTCAATCAAACACATTCTAAATTCTGTTTTTCAATTTATTTTTGGTCTTATTTTGGTTTGAAAAATCTTGAAATTGAATTATCCTGGAGTGATTGGTGGCGAGATTTGGGGAACTGCTCGGCGCCGCATCCCCCTTATTATAAAGAAAATTCTAATGTATTCAAAATTCATGATCTGGTACTTGTTTTATTATACTTTATTAATCTTTGTTTATCACTAGTTGAATGTTTAAATCGATTTGTTAAGAGAACGTGAGAGACGACTCAGACGAGAGGGAGATAGTGGATAATTGATAAAGTAATGAAAAGTTTGTTAAGTTAAAATTATTAAGTTGCCTTTTAAGTTCTAAATTTTTTTTATCTCTACAAGTTAAAAGTTTGTCATTTTTCACATAAATTTTTGTTTTTGTGTTGTTTGATTAATATTTTTTTCATGAAAAAATATTTCCAATTTTTGGTCACGTAATCATATTTTTCTTGAAGATAAGGAAAATATTGAATTACCTAAAAATTATTTTCATAAAAATTATCAATTAAATGTATTTAATTGATTTTATTTTCAACTTAGAAAATTTTATATTTGTCCATTTTTTATTGATAGGTAGATGAGAGGGGGTAACCTACTCCTTTTAAAGAAAATATTGTCCTTATTTTCAAGAAAAATATGGTAATACGATCAAAAGTAGAAAAATATTTTTCATAAAAAAATATTAATCAAACTGCACAAAAATAAAAATTTGGGTGAAAAATGACATTTTCATGAAAAATATTGACAATCGAACGCGAGTAGACACATATTGTACAATTAGCAATATACATACTATGAAATAAAAATACATACTATGAAATCAAAAATTAATTAAGAGGATGTTTGGTAGAGATTAAAATTAGATTTTTTAGTAGATTGTGATAGAAGTTTTTTGAAATGTATGGTTAAAAAGTTGTAAGATCCATGAAATATGTGGCGAATATAGATTATTTAACTTTAACTTAAATTAATCAGACTGATTTTAATCGAAACAAAACATGGGCTAACTAACATAAAATATTTCAAATCGCGCAGTGGGTCCCTCACACTGGAGCCATCAGTGATTGGCCCACTGATGGTCAGCATGACTTGTTAAAGTTGTATAAGGAACTCATCTAAATTATAATAAGGTCATTTAAGATGGACCGCAGCCTTTATCATAACTATAAACCATGTCGTTCCTTAAATAATATAAAGTTAAAAAATATATATATTTTCATATCATTTACTCCTTCAATAAAAATTCACATATACGTGACAATAAACCTGAATCCTAAATCGTAGGTAGACGGTGTTATTAATGCTTTTCACACAAAATTGCAAGAAAGTTAAATAAGCATAGGTCCTATGAATGCCTTTGCCATAACTCTTCGAGATGTCCAAAATAATATAAATTGTACAACTTTGTGGATCTACAGAAACTATTTAAAAATTTAATTTACAAAATAATAATAATAATAATAATAATAATAATAATAAATAAATAAATAAATAAATAAATAAATAAATAAATAAATAACGACAACCATGTAATGACACTTTCTTGGTTCATTTATGTTGGCATGGAGTATAACTAGCAATGCTTAAAAGCAAATTAAAATAAATATATTTAAAAGTACCTTTTAAATTTAGTCAAATATACGTCTTAGATTATATTCATATTTAAGTAATGTTCTATCCTATCATATTTGTTGAAATAAATTCAAAATAACATTTAGTCCAAAAGTTCATTTTTTGTAAAAATATATATGTAAGTGTAACGACATTATAAACAAGTACTTTTGGACTTGTCAAACCGGACATGCTCTATGGTCTGGGCATATGTAGAGTTGTTTCTTTTAAAGATTTTAAACTTGAAGCAACATACTAAATTATGTACGAGCATCTTATAATCAAACTAAACCCTTTGGGACATAGTTCAGTGGTGTAAAGGACGGTAGTGAGGTTATCTCACGTCTTGTTGACAGTCGCAATATGGGAGTTCGATTTTTGATAGATGAAATTGGACTCCTTGTAGGCATAGTGTACAAACAGCTCTTACTCCCTAACTTGTTGGGGCACATTTCTAGATTTACCTCCCTCACAAAACTCTAGGGACGGGGCGGTGGAGGGCTCTTAAGGTTGAGGTTCAACCTTTATATTATAATCAAACTAGTTTTAAAAAGTTTTTTTTTTTTTTAATAATTATAGAAAATGTGTCAAGTTCTTGAGTTCAATATTTATTGCGAGAATCCGTTTTTGGCCACAATGTCAATGCAAATAACTATGTAAAAAATTATTTCGCTTTGTAGTTTTAAGAACTATATAGTTTAAATATCATGGTTCGTTTGATTGAAACGAATTCAATGAAAAATGTCACATTCGAGAAATTCGTTTTTTACTTTGACTAATTGATATGAAAGTGAAAATGGAGTTCGAATTCCAAGGTATAATCATTTAAAACATGTTTTTGGCCAATTTCAATGAAATTGAATTCCTATGGTTTTTGTGATTTTTTCTTTTCCAACTTACGTGGAATTGATTTGTCTTTTCCATCTTTACAATCAAACGAACCCTTAATTAAATATCTATTCCTCAATATGTAACGGGTTGTAAAGAATTGTCGTGGACAATACAAAGAATATATATATTTTAGAATGACTATTGAGCGCTTCACTCATCAACATATGATTTTATTAACATAGACGTCTCATTTTCATCGTGTGTCAATCAAATATGTAACTCAATTTTTGTGTCTAAAGAGCTGTTCGTATGATGTTATCTCTCAATCATTCAGCTTAGTTCTTCCAAGTGTATATTGCGGGAATTAACTGTTCATGAATTTTTTCAATAAAAAGTTTACGTAAACGAGGGCGGATTGCACACTTTTTTATTCAAAGCATTGTAATTATTTAACAGAGAAAGATGGGAGGGTTAGAGATTAAAAATAATAATAATAAAAAAGTAGGTGATTAAACTATAAGTGGATAAGTGGATAATCGATTAAAAAAAAAGTCGCAATCTTTATCATGTCCTATTTCTCAAAGGCAATAATCTTTTTCTTGTCATTTCGATTAAAGATCCATCCACTTTTCTCTGAATTTGAGGTAAAATTATTGGAAAGGGTGGTTATGGAGATCAACATGGATTTTAGAGAAGTTTTTATCAAAGCCTAAAAATGCAGATCTTTTCTGCTTAAATTTAATTAATATAATTATTTCTGCTATTTTCTCGTGTAATAAAATTGGAAAGTGCTATATATACAATCGAGGTTGTCAAC